CTTTCCCTCCCTCAAAAATGACTGCACCTCCTAAAATGCCGAGATCCCTTTTAAGGAGCATGACTCCAAAAAGGAGGGATGGGAAGAAGAAAAAGCTTTTCAGAGTCTCCACTGGGATTCGACAGACTGCTGGAATCTGTTAGGAGAAAACAGCATTTTACAGGCGGCTCATTATATCGGTCACGTTGCATTTCTGGCAGGCGTGGAAAGCAACACTGGTGACACTGACTCTTCATGCAAGCGTCATACAGGGAATACTCCTACATGTCTATCCTTGCGTAGTCCAAGTAAAATTAGCCTCCGTAGTTTCCACACCCTGACCTGGTTTCTCCAACTCAAAAGTGGGGAATATTTTAAAATCTGATCTACTCCCTTAAAGTCAACACCTGATCCAAACAAACAATCAATCTCCTGTTTGACATCACACAAGAGAGAACAGATCTACTGTCATTCAAGGGCATACAATCTACTTCAAAGAAGGCTGGTTCACCAGAAGAAAGCCCACTTCGACACAACCACTTCCTCAGGAAAAAACTTAACACTGAAGGCAAACACTCCTGTCTGACACGCTGCAATTAATTTCTGTAAGCATACGACATCCTCAGGACCACCTATTTTAGGTAACATCCTGAAATCCTCCACAGTAAAGAAAATGGATTATTTTTCTTCATATTAAGACTTCCCTTTCAGTGGAGAGGGATGGATGGGGTGGAAGTTTGGTGTGGTTTTTTTTGTTTTTTGTGGGTTTTTTTGTGTGGTTTTTTGGTTGTTTTTTTTTAATGCAGCATTTCCACCGCACCTTTCCATGATACTCAACTTCTGCAGACTCGAACATATGACCAGGCTGCTACCTGCCTACTGTGACCGTTTGCAGATTTAGACCCTATGCACTACTAATGCAGGATGGCCAAAGTCTTTCTCCAGTTAGGTCCAGATTTAGACATCAAAGTCTGCTGATGTGCTACATGCTTACCCAGAACAAGAGCATTCTAGTCAGCTGATATCCAGCCAACAGAGAGGCTAGAGGGCTGTTCATATCCCAACCTACTTTACTCAACTAGAAAGCAGAATCACAGATCACACATACTGTTCACATGTACAACATGCAATTTTAGGTATCCAAGTCCGCAACTAAATTCTAGCCTAAAAGCTATTGAGAATCCACCAGCATTTCTTTACACTGTATTTACCCTAGCAGTAGCAAGGACTTTCATTTCAAGGTAAAACTTCTTCCTTCTGGCTTCTTGACAACTGACTTTCAGAATACGAGTCAAAGCTTCCTAGCAGCTACTATTTAGCTTTCCCCTGTCCCTTCTGGTAACAAGTGAGACTCTAGATGTAAAAGTCTTGAAGCAATTTGGAAAGATATTCAATTCGTAACAGCCTTCCTCCTTGTCTTCCCTCCTCTCATACACAAAAAAACAACCCAAAGAAACACAGAACATTAATGCATTTCACAGTATTGTGAATCTGACTTCTTCTCATCTTGAGATGAAATGCAATTTCATATTTAGATGCAAACATATTGCCACAGTAAACTATTTTAGACACACAAAGAACTAGTAGAATAATGACACTGGCTATCTGAAAGACTTACAAGAAAACAATGAAAATCTCTCAAATACATATGTATTCCACTTAAGAGCCATGGTATGTAGGATAACTTAATCCCCTCCCCCATATGAATAAATCAACCTATTACAAAGGATACTTTAATATTGGCTTATTTTGCTTGAATATACTGTACTTAACTGAAAATCATGCTCTTCAAATGAGACTGCTTGCCATATTCTGTAAACAAATAGGTAACTGTTCACAGAGCCAAGGAAATTGGAAGCAAGATTTAGGACCAATATGGTATCTTCATAAGGCAGCTTCTAAGAAGAACCTCTGATCTACTTCAGATTTAAAACTTGACTGAAGACCGAAACTATCCGACTAAAGGCAGCAACCTGCATTTTTGCAGCTGGTTTGGAAAAAAGGCCATCTACTTGACAGTTGACTAGAGAAGCATTTCCACATGCAATATTAAGCAATACTTCAAGAAACAGTAACTGCAAAGAGATGCACACACAAACTCAGAATCAACACTGACATCACGTAATTGCTATTGCAGCAACTACGGCCTCAGCTAATCAGAGCTGAACAACATTCTCCCGCATTTGCAAACAGCAGGGCTGCACTGTAGTCAGACATGTGACTGCAGACCACACACTCCGAAGAAACTTACTGAGGAAGCAGCAGCAGCCAGAGGAGCCACTGCTGTGTGAACTTCAGAATAAGCTGTAGCTTTTCTACAAACAGAAAGACTGCCTGGTGCATTTATACCTTCGAGAGCCATTCCTCCCAACTGCCCTGCAAAGCGTGCAGTGTAACTGCTCTGGTTTTGTCATACATACTCACTAGTAAGATTCCCATCAAACATCTGTAATCTGCAATGCAGAGCTGCTTTCTCCATCACACTCTTCAAAAAAGCCAATGAGACAGCATCAGATACACTTGCAAATTTGATTTATTTTGGCATAAGGGACACACAAGCTGTTCAAACTAGCAACTCTTGAAGAGTAAGCAAGAATAAGAATCAATCTCATTTATTCTCATGCTTACAGAAATTTCGTACAACAGAGTAGGAGAATTTTGTTCTGGGGTTAGATAAGTTTATTTTTGCAGTGTAAGGCTGAAATGCACAAAATACCCACTAAAAGAAAAAACAACCCAAGTGCATTTTAGGTGGGTAATATCCAACTATGTTTGTATGGACACTCTGGGCACTTCCTGCTCATGGAGAGAAAGTACTGTCAACACATTCAAGAACGATGGAGAATTCCTCTGCAGAGAAGACGGCAGGCAGACGTATGCTGCTGAAATTCATTGATTTTAACAGCCCAACGACTAACTAAAGAACCCACAATCCTTCTGCAATCAGTGAAAAGAGACAGAGACCTCCAAAGGTTGATCCATGTGACCCTTAGTGATTTCCCAGAGTGACCTGAACATAGTGATGTAAAGCAGGGTTCAATCGTGTACTTTGAGCCCCATGTCATTTCTCCTTTCTTTCTGAATGAAGATTGCTCCCTAGTACTGGCGTCATCAAGCAGAGACCACAGAGTGCCAGGCACACAACAAAAAGTGCTGTGCTACTTCATGCAACATCTTCTGATTTCATCTTCATTACTGTGCTGCAACTTTATCAGTCATTTATTCATACAGGGTAGCTTAGCTACAATACCTTTACAGAACAGGAAAGGCAAACTCCGCCATACATACACCTACGCTCTAGAGCATCAGAGTCGAGACGAGACCTTGGCTCAGAAACCAACCTTGAAAGCAGTGATGTAGTTCAGCTTAGGCCCCCAACTTACCACATTTTTAAAGTCATCCTCTGCTTCATCAAATTTTCCTTGCTTGAGCAGTAATTGCCCTCTCTGTAATCTTGCCTGCAATGAAACACAAGATAATTTCTTTTGATTTATAAAATGAAATTCAGCAAAGTATGAACACAAGCTTCAGTTTCCTTTAGCAGGGAAAAAAAAGCTTCATTTTAAGCTGAAACAAAGATCACACCACCCATTCTCTATCTTCTCCATTTGACAATCTTCTTACGAGGCCTCTCTGATGGTAAAGGATCACTCTGCACCAGAACTGAGGGACAAAAAGCAACCATGGTTGTTATGAACAGCTGCAACTCACGGAAAGAACTCATTGAAAAGTTGCACAGAACAAAGTGAATGTTTACCTTACACCATTTTCCTGATTACAACTGCTTATAGATTTTAAGAAATTAGCAGAAGTAATAGCCAACAAACAATTCCCACATTTAATTCTTCCACTAAACTTGCAAAATAACAGAAGCTAAGTAAAAAGACAAGATAATGATTTAGAAGATTCTGATTTATCACAAGAATATTTTCATACAACAATGATTTTAACATTTGCTCCTTCATTGTAAGCTATACAGGACACGCCACTGCCCATGGAAAAGGGAGACAAGAGAATTGGATGGAGGGGACTCCAGCATCAGCCTCCCAACTAGTGAGGCAGTCTCCACACACAGTATGCGGAAGTGAGAAAAGGGTAAGTATATGAGAACTTGCAACAATCCCACAGGAAGGCAGTGAGATCAGGACAGTTCCTGCAGAGAAGAGATGCCTCAAATCAAATGCTGATTAAGAAACAAGAAAAATAGAGGCATCTGTGCGCTTCCCTCCCCCAAAGGGCATAGCCTTGGTGACCGAGAGGAGAATAACCACAAGTGAGAGAAGGAAAGTGTTTAGCACAAACCCATGGAGAACATGAACTTAATAAAACTACTGTTAGTTGTTAGAATAACTGGCTAGACTGTACTCAGCATAGCTGCAAATTCAAGCACATACACTATTACTATTATTTCCTCCTATTCAAAGCCCTCTGAACGATAATGTATTTTCTATTTCTGTTTAGCAAAATCTGAAATAACAGCCCTCTTCAAAGCAGGTTTTTCTTACGCTTGAACAATTTTCAATTCCAGTAATACTTACTGATGTGAAGTCCTGCTTTAATTCAACCACTTTGCTTAAATCACGAATTGCTGCTTTAGATTTGCCCATGGCTAAGTACACTGTGGCTCTTCTGTAATAAGCAATGTAGTTATCAGAGTCTCCCTCTGCAAGTGAGCAAACAGTAATCAGAATGCTATCTCAAAGCAAATGAACCTTTAGGTACAGTGAAACTGTAATGACTAAAAATGTATTACCTGAGTTTCAAGCCACTGGAAAAAAATTGTGTTTATCAATAAAACATAGCCTTTGTAACATTATCATAGTAGTATTTCCTATGTAGTTTGATTATTTAACAACAAAGATTACAGAAACACAGTAAATGCCAAATAATTAAGAGTACTGAAGGTGAAATATGTACTTATTTTTCAGCTTTGTACAAGAAAACAGCCACTATATACTAACCCTTTATCTCCAACTGCAGGCCTACATTTCAAAGCATGTTAATTCATCATTCTCCATCCCAGCCCCTGTCCACCATACAAAATGCAAGCAAATAATCCCCAAATTACCAATATGTTAGTCCAATGTAGTCACAGACGCATAAACCCTTTACACCCTCCACTGAAATAACAGCAACTTCTTCCTTGGGTATTCAAGTGGGCACCAACATCCCCTCTCAACAGCAGACAAATGCACGTACATTATCAAAACCTGAAGGCTAACTTCAAGGCCCCCACACTCCATGTTGTCTGCTGGTCAAACTCCCAAGATTCAGCAATTTTAACACACTCTAGACTAGCACATACATGTACACCCTTACAGGAGGCAAACATCAGTCTCTGAAACAAAGACTTTTCTTCATATTCTTCTCTATGCAGTATTTCAAACAAACAAATGACAGTTACTGTGGGCCCTCAAGGAAAGGTAACTTAAACCACCCAAACAACCATATGCAGTAGAAGACAGTAAACTTCTTCCTGTGCTATTAAAAAAATGATCAGTACAGAATTTGTAGACAAGAACATCCATATCTGAGGAACAAAACAAGTATTTATCTTCTTCACCTCATTTGAGCTTAAAGTTGAACTTTAAAAATTAACAGAACAAATAGCATTGCCAAAAATCTTATGGTCAGTAACCAAGCTTCATAGCTGGCCACCTCCATTACCAAAACAATAGTTCAGTTCTCACTGGAAACGGTATCTGCACTCTTCCTCTACAATGTCTTGGCTGTGGAAAAGCTAATGTCCAGTACTGAAATTTAGTAACAACCCCCATGCTGTATGTCACCTTGTATGCCAGCATTCTGGATGTCAATTAAATTCAAATGTTACTACCTTTAAGAAACCAAACAATTTGGTATTAAGTATATCAGATAGGAAAGAGCTAAGCCAGAAAGCATTTTCCAGCACCAGACGATGATCCAGAATATGGGTTTGCCTCAGTTTCCCAGTAACAGCAACAAACAGCAGTTGACATTTACCCAGAGAAGGCATAAGCCACCAACTTGATAGGATCAAAAAGAGTTTAAAAATTAAACTGAAATGAGAGAAAATGAGCAGTATCTTTCTTTCATTTTAGATGCTTGCAAAAAAAGAAGAATAGGCTGGCTGAGGCAAGACAAAAAGATGTATCTACCTCACAGTCTATGATGTTGCAGTACAGGCAAAATAAAAAGAAGACTGGAGAAACTTCTCCCTTGCCCTACAAATACAGTAGGCAAATCATGCTTAAAATCCTCTCAAAAAGGCAAAATACAATGAAGAAAGAAGTTTGATGAAGCTTTAGGCAATCAGGCTCAAACCAGCATCCAACTAAGAATCCCAGCAAGGTCACAACAGAGGTGGTCATGCCATAGTTCCACTAGGTCCTCGAGCACTGCTGGCAAAGCAGAGGGTCTCACTCCACAAAGGCACCTCACACCACTGCCTCCTGTGCATCACCACCAGCATTCGTATGACCACATGCTGAACTGGACTTTTTACCAAATCCAAGTTAAAGCTTGCCAACCAATAAGGGAATAAAACATGTTGTAACACTAACTCTGCCCAGATCCCACAGGCATGCTTTGGCAGTGACACGAGGCAAAAGGAGTAACAGACCACCTCTTGGTGGAACAAGAAGCTTCCATAGCACAGAAAATTAGGTTTTTTCCCCCCATGTAGTTAATTTGGCAGTTTCTTTTATCAGAACAAAAGCATAAATATTCTGCTGCACCCCTGTTGCCTCCTGTCCAAGTTCAAACTGCTGCATAAAAGTGCCTCAACTTCTATGGCTCATGGAATACAATTTGCAAGAAAGCAGGATGCTTAATGAAGCAAACAGTAGAAAAAACAAAACACGGAAGGTATTTCAGTGCTACAGTCACTTTCCTGAGATACATACCTATAGCTGCATGAAAGTGAAAACACGCTTCTGCTGTTTCCCCCCCAGCCAATAACTTCTTTCCCATTTCAAGTTGCTTTTCTACTTCTGCATTTATTCCACATTCGGCTCCTTAAAGAAAAATAAAAGGATCAAGATTTTGAATGAAGAGTTTGATTATACCCAATGCACACAGCGACAATACACACAACAAACAGTTACTGATATAGAGGCAGAGACTGCATCTTCCTGTACTAATAAAGTGGCAGCTTAATAAACACATAGCATGTATTCCCCATCCCAAAAAGGATGTCAAAGTAGATACATACTGTAATACACTGCACTGTGAGAAGGCACCAAATATGCCTTTCTATCCCTGTCTATACATTCAGTAACATACTTTTGCACGTCAAGCTTTATACATCAACTATAAAAACAGTCTGACAAAATACATTTCTGTGTGGGCTTTCAATTTGAAAACAATCTGGAAAAACACTCATAATGCACACATAACAAATATAAAAAGGCTTTAAGCTAAATTTCATGACCCTACTACTGATAACTCAGGACTCAACTAAGAACAGTTAGCTACTTCTGAGACCGGCTTCTCATCTACTGCACTTTTGTCTCATCTTCATAATTTCCAAGGCAAACTGTTTCCAGAGCACAAATTTCGCTATAAACAATTAAAATTCTCACTCCCTTTTCATTTAACCAGTAGTATGAAAACCATGTTAAAATGGTACGTTTTCAGAGTGCCATTTTTACTTTAAAGCTAATAAATTGCTGCTGCTCAACCAACAGCGAAAGACTATTGTTGAGAAGAAACGAGCAGCTGAGTGCAAGCACGTGCTGTACATACATCAATTCCGCCACAGAGGTTTTGCATTTGTACTACGTCCAACATTCTTCAAATTAGGACAGAATTCCACTACACCTTACCACGACTATTAAAACTTCCACACTATAAGAAGTTTTCTTTTACTAAGAGCATACCACATGCACAAATTTAAGCAAGGTAATACATTAAAATCCTGAATAAATACATTACATTAGAAGACTACAAACTACAATTACTAGGAATCAATTTCTTCGAGTCAGGTTTTGTACGGAGCTAATTCAGATAGGCACTTGAATTAATCTCAAATACGACAATGCAGCAGCACTTTGAAGTAGTTTCTTAGAGTCTGAATAAAAATGTTACACTAAGATAGTTTGAATGAAAGCCTATCTAAACTTCTCACACCAAAAGGTGATTAAACGACAAAGTATTTGTAATGAACAATAACTTCTGATCGTCAAGTCAAGATTTTAGAACTAGAATCTTTCAGCACCTAGCATCTTAATTTAATTATCCTTTCCCACTCCTTAATAACAGCTCATAATTCTTCTCATTCCACATTATAAGAAAATCATTGAGCTGTCTATACCAAAATGAATGAAATGCTCTCTGCAGTCACTGGAAAAAGCTCTATCTGTTAAAAGACTGATAATAATTCAGCAAACTGAATACAAGGGCTTTGATTCAATTATTTGCTTTAGAACAACAACAGCAAACAAACTCCTTTTTTTTAATTAATGGAAATTACTTTATAAAATAAGCCCCAAATTTCCAGTCAGTAATTTTTTTTTGTTTAAACAGCGAGAGTTAAAATAGTAATATTACTTATGATATAGTCAATTTGAAGACCTTATTAAATGATGCATTTTATAATCCATCCTAAGTACTTCTAGCTCTGAATAAATTATAAATAGTTCCGCTCATACTGAGGAAGTACTTCTTGACAGTAAGTTCTTCACATGCAATGTTCTACTTTAAGGTAGCTTTTACGTGAATGTCTAATTTTCAGAAAAAAGTTATATTCTTTGCCATTTTGTTTTCTTGCTTCTTCTCTAGCTTCAAGCTTTGATCACTGAGTAGTCCAATGTCCTCTAAAACGACCAAGCAAGCTTTGGAGAAAAAAACACCCCTACACACACAAAAAACCCCAAACAAAACTGGAAAATAAACCCACCACAAATTTCCCTGGCTTTGGAAGTATACTAGCAACAAATCAGATATTAAACCATAAACAGACTGAAGTTTTTAACATGAGCTAAAACAAACAAAAAATTCTGAAGCTTCATCCCTCCTGTCTATCCCAACATACAAATATCTGAAATCTTTCAGAAATTCTCAGTTTGAAGTGGTGTCCTAGAAGCTGGCTGTAAATTCCTCTTTGATGAACCTTCCATCCACCTAAACATGACATCCAATTTTCAGAGTCTCAAGCACCTGAAGGAGTGTCCTTGTTTCATATTTAGTCACATCAGGATAGCTCCAAGAATAGATTTTCCACAGTACAGACGTACCTACACTATTCTGTCTTTCATGCACATTATATACAGTACAGTTTTAAAGTTACATAATACTTTAGGCAGGAGAGCCACCTTTTTCCTTGAAAACGCTCCAGATACTAAAGGAAATGAGAAAGGTGACCATTAATAGTAAAGAGGTAAGTAACAAAAGAAGGAGCAACATGGATCGAGAAATAAGGCAAACTGTGAAAGACTGCAGGTTCCCTGCAGAACAAGACTAATTAGTAGGCATACATTAAAACTTGGCTCTGCAAGCTGCTGAACATCATAAATTGATGTGGGAATCTCCAGAAGCCGCCTTTCTAATCAGCATAACCCTGATGCCAAGAGACATTTACCTTAACTACTCAAGAACACTGTACACTGACCTGGTAGTTGGGCTGTTTATTCATATAAATCTATTGCTTACTCATTTTCCAGCTGTAGGCAAACAATTACTCTAAATAAACAACCCCACAGGTAAGGTCCAAAACTGATCCCTTAGACTCCTGTGCGTATGTTGTCAAATTCTGTGTAACCTATTCGGGTGCCTATTCTTTGGTCTGCGAATGAACCTACGGACTTAAGTTCAACCGGAGGAAAAAAGAAACCAGCCCCTCAGAGCTCTTTCCAACAGATCAACAGTCATTAGTGAGCCGGACGCCAAGGGCCCAGCACTACAGCTGAACGAGCCCTGTATGTCCAGCAAGAAACCAAATTTACGCAAGAGATACACAAGCATACTGTTGATGTTTAAAACTTCCAAGTATTTTAATTTGAATATTATTTCTAAAGCCTACCTAATTGTTCTCTATTCACCAACAACCTCAGGTGACCACACGCAAGGGCCTCAGCTGTCAAATCAAGTCAGATACATCGGATAAATTCTGAGTCTGTAGTCCTGGCACTGATACAAGAGCAGACAATAAAAAAAAAAAAAAGAAAACCTACTCCCAGGTAAGGACACCAGTCAGAAGGCACAACAAAGATAAGCAGGTGCACCTAACCTGTTTTTCCAGTTAAATACACTCACTTCAAATAAATTGTAGCTTCCTGGTAGAATTTTTGTTTTATTAAGAGTAACTGGTGCTAACATGCAGGTACCTAAGTATATGAACTTCAACTATATCCTCGTACAATCTGTCACATCCACAGTGTAAAAAGCTTAAGAAAGCCCTCCAGCTTCAAAAGTTTCAAGATTTTACATTTGTCTACACACTCCTCTTTTTCCCCCTGAGGATTTCCCACCTATATTTTTTTTTTTTAAATCTCATCTCCAGGCTGAGTAATGGCATTATGAAAATAGAATTAGTTCTGATTGTACACCAGAAAAAGAACTGTTTCAAAGAAAAAGAAGAAACATGCATGTCACTAACCTTAATTACAATTATATAAACTTTCTTTTTTAACATAGAAGAGTTTGACGATTGTCTTGTCACGTGAGTGGGAGATCTTGCTTTTGGGGTGATTTTTGATCAGAATGACCCTGTGTTTAGCACAGTAAGTCTTAAGTTTGCTGCTATTTTTAAACCGGTTTGGGCTTTCCTTTGATGTGTGTTTGCAAGTGTGTTTTTCAAAGACAAGACTGAACAAAGTAAGCAGTGGACAAGCAATCAGTTTCAGGAGCAATACGAAAAGGCTCACAAGGAGCCTCAGAGCACCCACTGGAGCTGTGTGTAACTTCCATCCCTCAAGTCTTTACTCCCTCCATTTGCAAAGAAAGTTGGTAAACACAGCTAAGATTGGCAAACTAAAAAGCCATCCCTCTCTGCCTCCAGAAAACTAGAGGCTTTCTTCCCCCTTCATGGACTATCCTTTGCAACTTGGGGTGAGAGGAAAAAAAACCCTCCGAAACTCAGGACAGAAACATCTGGTGTTGGGGGTGGGCATGAGAGAAACATTTAAGGTTAGTGGTCCCATAACAAGGAATGGAGCCCTGTATACTGAACGCCTGTTTCTTCCTCCTCTTATTACACTTCCTTTCTTTTACTGCTAGAAAGGAGAAGAGGAACCATACGCCCCTACCCTCCTCAGCTGCCTCTTTTTGTTGCGATTAATGTGGACAAACAGCCATGAAGGATGAAACTTCCCAAGAGGTGATGTGTCAAATGGGAGCTTATTCAGCACAAGTTCAGGCATTCAAGGAGGAGGAATTGAGAAAACGCTACAGTAAGGGGTGAACTGCAGCCTGCCACATCACCTAGCACTCCAAAACCTTTTTACTGAGCTCATTTACCAGCCAGATATAAATTAATATTCATACATATTGACTGTAAGATACAAAGTTAATGCAGACCAATGGTTCTGCTGGTTCAAGAATCTGATGGCACAAGGCAGACTTCTACAATCAAGACATCAAGATGCAAATTTAAATGTGAATACTAATACCTCTGAGTTCAAAAACCAGTAATGGGGGGGGGGAATCCAGATACTTCAATAATGTAAAACCACCAAATTTCCTAACTATACATCCTAGAATATGAAGTCATGAACTAACAGTTTACTAGTTTTAGTAAATGAGACCTAGAACCATCCTGTTCACCATATTGCTCTACTTCAAAACATCTTTATTAACTGAAAAAAATATACCCCAAATTAGGAAACATGGCTTTGGTATGGCCACCTAGCCATTAAACCACGTACTTGAAATAGGCTGGCAACTCCAAATACAGAATCCTTCGCAGAAGCAGCGCTGCCACAATCTTGGTGGGGAGGGGGGGAGAAGCATACTTTGACCTCAATTACTGCTTTTCTGCTAACACTACAGAGCGTCTTTGCCACGCTATGTTCCTATT